ACGTTTCGTTTAGTGTGTCCTCTTACTAGGTGGTTTCGCATCCAACCACTTACGAGATCTTTGCTTTGCATCGCACCTCCCCAGGCCTATTACGACCTGCGTACTCACTAGACATAAAAACCATCGGAATCCTCGATCGGACGCATACTGCTACTTGTTCCCGTGTTGGTCTGGGATGTAAGAACTTAAGCCCATCGCAATGAAACTGGACCTTACCGTGGTGTGATGGTTTGCGTGCCTCAGCGATCCATTGAGCTATGCTGGGTGGTGATTTTTTGCACATTCAGAGCCACTCACACCAGATGTGTCAATGGTTAGAGGCCAGACAAACTCAGACTCCAGGTTGGGGATTGATGTAATGATGGCTCCTTATTCCTTTAAAAAAGGTACTTCTTGTAGTTCATTGCGAAACCAACTGCCTTGCAGACAGGTTTTTGAACCAAAAGCTATGGGTGAGAACCCTAATCGCTCTGCTGCTTAGGCCTGGGCAACCTGAATGTATCCTGCCCACGCAATACAATGAATTTCTTTTCAAACAATTTCCTGACACTCTGGCCACCGCAGGGGATAATCAACGGTGCCCTATCTGCTGCATCGAACAGGGTGAATACGGGTTTGGATGCTACTGTTCAAGCCTTCCCGTCTTCTTATTCCCTCATGCTTTTTCATCCTTATCGTCCCGTTACAACCACTTTTATCCACCCGTTTTCAACTCCTAATTCTTGGTCCCTCCCACCTTGCCTTGATAGGCTTTTACCTTTTCGTCCCAACTCACATGTGAACGCGGAGCGTCATTCCTGCCTCTCAACAGGCCCATGTCCAAGCAAGCGGTCAAGCACAGTTCATTGGCTACCATTTGGAGCCCTCGATCATCCCTCAGGTTGGCAGGCCTCAATGTACGCATATTACTACAGATCGCTCAACAGGCAGCACTTGCCCGAACATTGGAGATCCTCTCGATCGATATCTGCTGCTTATCGAAGGCCCGCCTGCATGACTCCAGCTCTGTGCTCACTCTGCGATCCCCTTCAGGTGACGCTAGCAGCACTTTCTCACTGCGCCTATCCAGTGACGATGCAGCTTCGAGCACTGGCCAAGCTGGTGTAGGTATTACCCTGAGTCCCCGGGCTGAAGCTGCTCTGGTTGATTGGATTCCAATCAGTAGCCGGATATGTGCGGTCCGCTTGGCTGGCTCGTTCAAAGCTTCGAAGTCGCGTGGGACTAACAGGTGTCTATTCGTTATCGCTGCCTATGCACCCACAAACTGTAGCGATGATTCGGTAAAGAACGACTTCTACCGCCAACTGACCCAGCTCCTTCGCCACAGAAGAAGCACGGACACTGTTCTGAATGCTTATCAAAATACGCTGGCATGCGAGTTGTGTAAACGCTCTTTGGAGACAATTAAAGGTCAGTGGTCCCATATTGACCAGACTTTAATAGCAGCAGACAAGTCCTCATGTGGTATGTCTAATAGGCAACATGGACATTGGGTCTCTTCGTGGTCTCTGGAACTTCTCGATGCTCGCCGGCATATTCCGGCTGGAAACGACCACAATGAAACTCGAAAGAGCTCCGGGCAAAACTTCGTGCTAGCCTGAAGAGAGACCGCGAATCCTGGTGGTTCTTATATTGCTTCAGATATGGAAGTGGCCGCTGCCCTCGGGAACCATCGTAAGTTATTCCGTCTGATACGGGAAACCGGCAGCAGGAGACATGGTGTTAGTGAAAATATACGTCACGAGAATGGACAGCCAATCCACAAGTTGTCAAAATGCTTGTAGCGTTGGGCTGAGCACTTTGAAAGGTAATTTAATCGGTCGAGATTGTTAGATTTCTTGCCGGCCACTGATCGCCCCGCTCCGTGGGCTGTCCCTTTGGATCCACCCTCTCGCTCAGAAGTCAAATGTGAGATCATTGTTGAAGTTGAACAAAGCCGCTGGACCAGAGGATCTTCCTCCAGCCCTCTTCAAATTCGGAGGCTCTGCTCTTGTTGATGCTTTACGTGAATAACTAATGAAACTGTGGGAGCAGTAGACTGTCCCAACCGACTGGAGCCGCTCCGTTATTGTTCCCATCTTCAAAAGAGGCCCGCGTTCGGAATGAGGCAACCACAGATGGATCAGTCTGATCTCAATCGCCTCCAAATTGCTTGTCGCTGTCACCGTTCACAGACTGATTGGCACTCGTGAAAGCTAGATTCGTGAGGAGCAAGCCGGGTCTCGTTGAGGTCATGGCTACATTGACCACATCTTTACTTTGCGTCAATTGTTGGAGCACCGTCACATATATTGGCGGCCCACTGTTGTCGTGTTTTTCGAAATCATAGGTTCATTCGATTCGGTGGACAGACGTGCACTTTGGGACTGTCTACTCAGGAAGGGTGTACCTGAGTACGCTGACGAAATTGCCCTAATCTGTGGCAGCTCACAAACATGCCAAGCGGCACTGGACAGATTAGCAATGACTATCCGTCCCTTCGGGCTTTGCTTCGCACCCTCGAAGTGCAAAGCGTTCCTCCAAGATGGGCCTGGACCGCCTCCTTCGCTGACCCTTTGTGAGGATCAGCTAGAAGTCGTTCACAAATTCAACTACCTAGGAAGTCGTATCAGCGTTTGTGGGATCGAAGACTAGATCACGAACCGTATAGCAAAAGCTCGAAGTGCTTTTGCTAACCTTCGCCACTTATGGCGCCGGCACGACACCACTATGGCCCTGAAGGGTAGAGTGTACAATGCGACGGTACCTTCGACCCTACTGTACGGTTGTGAAACATGGCCCCTTAGATCAACGGACATTAAAAGTCTAATTATGTTCGGCCACCGGTGTCTTCGCAATTTAGCACACATCTGGTGCGAACACCGCGGGAGCACCGACCGTATTCGACGCCTTGTTTACGGCACAGAGAAAGGATATGAAACGTTCAACACCGTTATTTCACGCACCAGGCTCCGATAGCTTGGCCACGTGTTACGCATGTCAGCCCACCGACTCCCGCGACGTGCGTTGTTTGTGCACGGGGAGTGCGGATGGCAGAAAAGGAGGGATGGCCAAGCGATGACTTAGTCGAGAGGAATGAAGGCCCTCACTTCGAAGCTCTCCTCGGTTGGAGCGTCACGGCTTCCTGGTCGGGGTCCGAAAGACGATGAACACGTTTGGCTGGATACACTTGGTGATATGCCTAGGAGCCTATCTAAGTGGCATTCATGCTGTTAGTTTCCTTGTCCCATTCCATCCTTCAGCCTCCCCTTCCAACCACGATCTCACTATTTAGTCTCATATAATTTTGCATAGCAATGTTTTTTGCTACTTAGTAGCTGGCTGGTAGCTTACCTAAACGATGCCCATCCGTTACCGGTAGCTCAGCTGGCATGCAACTGTTGCATTTTCCCTTATTTCTTTCATGTATTACGACACAGTAGCTGAACTCTTTTCCACCTCTAGCTAACGTGTATAATGATGATGATGAGTGCGCCTTGATCATACTATCACTGTTGTTGGGCGCTCGCATTGGTTCTGTTGACCATACTGATGCTAGCTTGGCGCCAGTGGGGAAAATGCTACCTATCGCTTCCTTATCCACCGTTTAACTACAAAACATTTTTCGGCTTTTGGTATAATTGACGTGTATACGTCTGCAGTGAGGCTGCGCGGATCTAATATTTACCCTGTATCAAGTGCTTAGATGTCGTCACCTAGTCACTTTGAATGTGTTCCGCGATTTTGAGCAAGCATTAGGCTTCCTTAATCGAAAGTCTCGGTCCGATGTGTTTGTTTAATATATTGCTGCTGAGAACTACACGAGCGACGCTCCGTCCCGTGGACTCATACACCTCTGGCGTCGGACTGTAGAATACGCTGCGAATGACAAATGGCATTCTCTCTGGTGTTGTTCCATTTTCCCACCTCAACTCCATTTTCTTCTATCATGCGTTACACGTCTCCACAGGAAAGTTGATGATACATCATGTATTTATATCCTACTAGATGACGTGCTCTTGCTGTTTCCCAATCTGCAATTTTCGGAATCAGCTCCCAGCGCATTCTGTGAACTAGTCCATGATTTGATGTGCGCTTTACAACCTCAAAATGCAAAGCATTTTTGTACAAATACAATCTACTTGCTAGCTCTTTGACTCGACGAGAAGACAGCTAGTGACACTTGGTTCGCCAATTTTTTCAGCTGTATCAGCAGCAGTGATGTGACTTATTTGGTAGTTGTATTACAGGTCAGCAACTATATTATTCTGCGAGAACTTTGATGCCCGATTGAGATTTCCCTCTGTTCGATTGACCATGTATGCAGAATCACAATGAGGCCCGCTGTTTTCTACAGTGGCGCGGTCTGACCCCTCCAGTCTGGCTTTATGGCGTACGTTTGATCATCGCTGTTTCTGGAAGCATTTCTTGCCCCCGAGTGGCACCATTGGTTCCACAACGACATGCTACGCAGTCGGGCCCTGGACGACGACGACCAGGTTACTTCATTGGAACAGCAAATGGCATTGAAGGTGTTGCGCTGTTTCTGACAGATACTGTGTTTCATTTACATGTTGTTGTGAGTTGTTGACGCAATGTAGACACATTGACCAGTAATTTTCGCGTCGTACTTTCACATGTTTCATAAGATTTTTCTATTTTTTGTCTTCCCTCATGATTATGAATCTTCTATCTGTCCACGATGCTTTGTTTGCTGTTTTCGCTATCCTGCCGTTGGTGTTGCTTCTCGTCTACGTTGAACATCGCCGTATCAGCCTTCTTGGTTGACTCAGGTCGCCTACCAGATGATGGCGATCAGGATGTTGCTTGATAAAATTAGCGCTTTCTGTTACCCCTGCTATTTTCTTACCGGTGCTTCCTGTGCTTTTGCACATTGTTACCCGTCACTAATACGTTCCATTGTTTTTTAGCTAGTATGCTTTTTCTGTCTTATATTCTTCTTTCACATGTTTTTCTTTCCATGCCCGCTTATATAACCTTTTCTCTTTCTCCTACCGTAGGATATGATTTGTCCTTGCGGATATAGACCTCGCATTTATACGAGGCTAACATGCCTCTTTATGTGCATAATTTTTCTGGGCACTAAGTTCCTTTTTCACGGCTTTCGGCATTCTGGCGATGCCATCGATTTTCGCTCACAAAACATCCTTTTATCTGACGACATTGAGTACGATTTCCGCCGTCATCTTCTTGCAATGAAGGTCCATCGTCCGCATCCTACTTCGAATTGTACTCCTTTGGCAGTGGAAAATTTTCCTCGTGACCTGTTCAAACAAAGTCAGCGCCAAAAGGGGGCCGTTATTCTACACATTATTGGAGCAGTTTACATGTTCATTGGTCTTGCACTTCTGTGCGACGATTATTTCATACCCTGTTTGGAGAGAATTTCCGAAGGTTCGTGTATCACACGCATTGTATACTAATTGCAGTGCTTAATCTACAACCGGATGTTGCGGGTGCCACCTTTATGGCTGCTGGGAGCTCTGCACCCGAACTAGCCACCACCCTTGTCGGGGTCTTCATTGCCAAGGTGAGTTTGGCTCGTTTTTATAAAACCTTCAGCTTTTATGCATCTCAACGGACGTCCCTTCTTTCGATTAATCAACTCAAAAGCTCAATCAATATCACTGCTAACAATTGCTTGTGCGAGCTGGGACGTCCCTATAGTTGTTTTTGCTCTTTAAACAGCCACTGTTTACACTTGCGCGTTATCTATCAATTATCATGTACAAAGCATGAAATTTTCTTCATAATTTCAAACAAGAAAATGGGAAAACGCGTAACTTCTGATGAGTCAATCATTTCGCGCATGCTTATTAATCACAACCACGCACTTAACGATAGAGAGCAAAGTAAGTAATATGAAAGCCATCAGCAGTACGCCGGTACGCTGTGCTGACACTTCGCTGCCACGCGTCGACCACCAGTCACGCGTGCGCTAAGGATACTGCGAGGATCGCCCAGTTTCCTACGCAGGCTCGAACCCGCGACTTCAGATTGCAGGGCAGAGTTATAACCTAAGGCCGCGAGCCGGGCTACATAGTAATTAGTGATCGACTGGTGACCATTCAGTGGGCCTCGCGCCACCGCGATAGATTGAGATTGACACGTACGACGAAGCGACCCATGTCACACTGTTTATACAAATTCACCTATGTTGCATACGCTGACCGAATTTTAGGTGTCAGAATCGATGACTATAATCCTAGGTGGTTGCGCAGCCAAATGGGGTCTGTGACAATTGAATCGAGTGAATCGAGGAGCCGAGCTGCATCGGCAGTTCTAAGGTATTTACTTAGCCCTGGCTACCAAGTCAACCCCGATAAGTCATTTACCATCCGGATGCCTAATCAGAAGCCACATTTCTTCAGGCTACTGGAAACCATCGTTATGGATAAAAAACGATCGGAGCTTTGCATACAGAAACAGCGGACTGAACTTCTCAGTCTATCGTGACAGCGCGAACCTCACTGAATGGAAACCAGTCGACCCCCTGTCCGTTTCCATACTCTTTATCATGAGTTGCATGGTTGTGATTGATAAACATACACAAAGCGATTGAGTAATCTCACAATTCGCGTCTGCCGGTTTGGAACCGTGGGATTCCTCGATTCATCATATTTGGCTGACGCTCTTGATGGAATTGAAATGCTGCCTTCTTTAGGAGCACTTTACAGTGTTAATAGCCAAACCGTACCAGTACCTAATGACCGATTATTGTCTCTTTCACTGGATCCTTTTCTAGGCAAAAGTTATTCCAGTGATCAACCTGCTCTTAGATCTCCACGAAACTGTTGGCTTTAATTCTTGATTCAGTCTTAAGGCTGAGTTTCTTGATTGTTCATACTTAACCATCACCGACCAATTCTCGTAAATATAGTACCATTTGTATTTTGTTAGGCAAGGGATACTTTCGACTGCTTATACTTTCTTCTAGGTGTACCATCTTCTCATCACGTTTGTCTTGGTGATCTTAGCAATGTACATGATTGTGCTTTATGACCCCCAAGAACAACATTTTTAGACAGTTAATTAGTCGACCAGTCTATAAAATGTCTTGTTTCACCAATCGTTTATTGCTGTTTCCTGGTGCACATTGCCCCCTTCCTTAGGACGACATCGGTTTGGGCGCAGTCGTTGGATCGGCTGACTTCAACGTTATGCTAGTCGTCAGCGTCACGGCCCTTTTTGCGAAACACGTAAGTTTCACCGCTTTCTCGATCTCTTCGGTCTATCCTAGACAGTCGGGCCTTTCTGCTAGTATAAGCTAACGAACGGGGATAGGTCAATGCTTATATTTCAGATGATGTGAATACCTTGTTACTGGTTGTTACATCTAAGGTCCCAGCACCTTTTCGCTTTCATCTGATCATATAGGAACTCATAAAAAGCGGTGTGGAACTACTTGTTTACTGCCATTAGTGTTCACGATCAGAATACTGGAACTCAGTTTGACGCCAGGGTTTTCACATATTTCTGTCAATAATAGAACTCGACGGACTGTTGTTATCCCTACGACCGGCTCGCGCCGAATCAGTTGTTGCCTAGTTTTGATCTTTGAGTTTGAGGATTATTATTCCTGAGTATTTGAAACAAGGCTCTCTTTATATTTCTAAGTTAGAAAATCCGGAGAACTACGTTGGGAGATGACTCGGTCATTTGGTGCATTCTCATCAATCACAGATAGGCGGTCAATCATAATACCAAAAACAAGATCCTATGAGATCGATAGGTAGCCAGACAGTGTTCGATCGGTCGGTGCGCTTCGCTTTACCACGGTAGATTTAGGACTGCGGTTAACTGTTGTTGTGTACACAACGGCGCTGCTCTTGATCGACTATTATGCTTTCCCATAGCCGGAGAATGTGGGGTCACTGATTACGCTTTTGGGCAGGGGAAGAACTCGTCGTTTGACTTGATGGTCAGTGCTCAGCAGCTGCTTTGTGATTGCTCGGAAAGTTCGGTTCTTTGACTCGCCCGATTCGGTCGTTGCAAATAACATCTGGTTGCGCGCAGTCAATTGAATCTAACACCTACACAAACGTCACTGCGACCTTTTTCGCGTATTAAATGCCAAGGATACGGTGACACCACATTACGCCTGAGCCGGGCGCCCACCTGCGCTTTCGAGAGCACATTGTTTTCAATTTGTTGCGTCGACCATGGGCTGTGACTGACCTACAAATGTAGTCGCAGCGTCTACACATTTACAGTGATACATAAACATGCGGGTGGACTGCGCACACATTGACTTGGCGAATCTCCTTACTGGCCATGTAAATACGGTGCTGCGTCAGCTAGTAGTTGCGTATGTCCAGAACTACATCGCGCAGCGCTGCATTATGGCTATGGTCCCGTACTTACTTGTGCTATGCGCAACCTGCAATCGAATGAAAAGTAAGCGATGTGTTGATAAAGGAATGGCGGAATTCGCTTCCCCCACACATGAACGGCTAAGAGATGTGATAATACTTTGAATATTACGTGGTGCTGGACTCACTAAAACACTCAGTGATGTTTCGACTTGAACACTCTGAGGACGAAGGGAAACAAAATTATAAAGCCATTTGAACCGGTTCTCAAAGTGCTCTGTCAAACGAACCGAACTCCGTTACTTTTTGAGAATCGGAGTACCGGTGTTATCACTGATTTCAACACCGACGCATTAACAACAGGAACCGCCGAAACGGATTAGCTTGCTGAGTTCGCAGAGTCGACCCACCATTCTTGTTGCTGTTATCGTTTTTTTGTTGCTTTTGTTGGTCAGGAGTATCAAGTGTTCTCCCTATGATATGGTATCCGCCACCCTTTGTTGTTAGGCCTGGAGATCCGGTGCCTAATCGTCATCATTATACACGTCAGCTAGAGGTGGGAAACACCTCAGCTACTGTGTCGCAATACATAAAAGAAAAGGAAAATAAATACAACAGTTGCATGCCAGCTGAGCTACCAGCAACGGATAGACATTGTTCCGGTAAGTTACCAGCCGGCTACTAGGCAAAAAGCAAAATTATTATGTTTTACGCTACGAAATGAGATCGTAGGTGGAGGGGGAGGCTAAAAGGGATGGGGAGCGATAACGAAACTCACAGCAGGAATGCCACTTAGATAGGCTCCTAGGCATGTCACCAAGTGTATCCAGCCAAACGTGTTCACCTTCTTTTGACTCCCAACCAGGTAGCCGTGACGCTCCAAACGAGGCCAGCTTCGAAGTGAGCACCTTCATTCCTCTCGACTAAGTCATCGCTTGGCCACCCCTCCTCTTCTTCCATCCACATCCCCGGTGAGCAAACAACGCACGTCGTGGAAGTCGGTGGGCTGGCATGCGCAACACGTGGCCCAGCCATCGCAGCCGGGTGTGTGAAATGACGGTGCTGAGCGGTTCAGTTCCATTTCCTGTGCCGTAAACAATGCATCGAAGACGCTCGTTACTCACGCGGTGTTCCCACCAAATGTGGGCCAAACTGCGAAGGCACCGATGGTCGAACGTAACTGTCCTCTTCATGTCCGCCGCTCTTAGCGGTCAGATTTCGCAACCGTACAGTAGGGTCGAACGTACCGCTGCATTGTACACTCTATCCTTCAGGGCGAGAGTAATGTCGCGCCGCCGCCATAGGTGGCGAAGGTTAGCAAAGCACTTCGAGCTTTTGTTATACGGTTCGTGATCTAGTCTTCGATCCCACAAACGCTGATACGACTTCCCAGGTAATTGAATTTTTGAACGACTTCTAGCTGATCCCCTCCAAGGGTCAGTGTAGGAGGCGATCCCTGCCAATCTTGGAGGAACGCTTTGCATTTCGATGGTGCATAGGAAAGCCCGAAGCGGCTGACAGCCAGTGCTAATCTGTCCAGTGCGGTTTGGCACGTCTGGGAGCTGTCATAGATGAGGGCAATGTCGTGTGCATATTCTAAGTCAAGAAGTTGTTCCCTGGGATTACCCCCACACCTTCCAAGTCATGTCCTGTAAATGCCATATCCATGACTTCGTCAATAGCGAAGTTGAAAAGGAAAGGTGACAGCGGGCATCCTTGTCTCACACCGCTGGAGATAATGAAGGGTGGCGACAGTTTGTCGTAAGCCCTCACTCTACCCGTGCTACGCACGTATAATGCACGGATAATATTTACATATTTCTCGGGCACACCTTTCCTGAGTAGACAATTCCAAAGGGTTCATCGATCAACCGAATCGAAGGCACCTTTGATGTCGAGGAACACGACAACGGTGAGCCGCCAATATGTGTGACGGTGCTCCAACAACTGACGCAAAGTGAAGATGTGGTCGATGCAGCCACGACCCCGACGAAACCCGGCTTGCTCCTCACGAATCTGGCTTTCACGAGTGCCAGTCAGTCTGTGAAGAATTATGGAGGCGAGTAACTTGGAAGCGATGGAGATCAGACTGATTCCTCTATGGTTGCCGCATTCCGAACGCGAGCCTCATTTGAAAATGTGAACAATAACGGAGCGGCTGCAGTCGGTTGGGACAGTCTGCTGCTCCCACAGTTTCACTAGTAACTCGTATAAATCATCCACAAGTGCAGGTTCCCTGAATTTGAAGAGAGCTGGAGGAAGATCATCTGGTCCTGCGGCTTTATTTAACTTCAACAGTCCGATCACATGTTCGACTTCTGAGCGAGAGGGTGGATCTAAAGGGACAGCCCACGGAGCGGGGCGATCACTGGCCGGCAAGAAATCTAACAATCTCGACCGATTAAATTACCTTTCAAGATGCTCAGCCCAACGCTACAAGCATTTTGACAACTTGTGGATTGGCTGTCCATTCTCGTGACGTATATTTTCACTAACACCATGTCTCCTGCTGCCGGTTTCCCGTATCAGACGGAATAACTTACGATGGTTCCCGAGGGCAGCGGCCACTTCCATCTCTGACGCACGATGCGACCACCAGGATTCGCGGTCTCTCTTCTGGTTAGCACGGAGTCTTGCCCGGAGCTGTTTGCGAGTTTCATTATTTTCGCTTCCAGCCGGAATATGCCGGTGGTCATCGAGAAGTTCCAGAGACCACGAAGAGACATAATATCCATATTGGCTATTAGACATACCACGTGAGGATTTGGCTGCTGCTAGTATGCTCTGGCGAACATGTGACCAGTAACCATCAATTGTCTCCAGTGAGCGGTTACTCAACTCACAAATCAGCGTACTTCGGTACGCTTTCAGGACAGCTGGTTTTGTCAGTTGGCTTTTGTCAATGCGCTCACAGCGTCGTCGTGGGCGTCTGCCAAAACGCATCCGTATGTCACCACATACAAATGCATGATCGGTGTCCACACATGTGCTCCAAATCGAGCGACAGTTCTGGATGCAGCCTCTCCAGCGGTAACTTATCGCAATGTGATCGATCTGCGTCCAAGGCTGGTTCGAGGCTGGTGGTCGCTAAGTCACCCTCCGGCAGATGCTGTGCCGGAAGTTAGTACTCGCAAGAAATAAGCGAGCATTCTTACACAAATGAAGTAAACGCGCACCGTTATCATTACTTGTGGGTACACTGTGCTGACCGCCCGGATGAATTTCATCAGTGGACAACTTTTCAACTTGTGCGTTCAGATCCCCAGCCAGCAATATACTGTCCGTGCTTCTTCTGTGGCGAAGGAGCTGGGTCAGTTGGCGGTAGAAGTCGTTCTTTACCGAATCATCGCTACAGTTTGTGGGCGCTTAGGCAGCGATAACGAATAGACACCTGTTAGTCCCACGCGACTTCGAAGCTTTGAACGAGCCAGCCAATCGGACCGCCCACATCCGACTGCTGATTGGAATCCAATCAACCAGAGCAGCCTCAGCCTGGGGACTCAGTGCAATACTAAATCCAGCTTGGCCGGTGCTCGAAGCTGCATCGTCACCGGATAGGCGCAGTGAGAAAATACTGCTAGCGTCACCTGAAGGGGATCGCAGAGTGAGCACAGAGCTCGTGTCTTGCAGGCGGGTCTCTGATAAGCAGCAGATATCGATCGAGAGGGGTCTCCAATGTTCGGGAAAGTGCTGCCTGTTGAGCGATCTATAGTAGAGTTCGTACATTGAGGCATGCCAATCTGAAGGAGGATCGAGGGCTCCAAATAGAAGCCGCTGAACTGGAATGGACCGCTTCCGTGCCTAATAGTGCAACGCCGCTCTACTCTGCTCCGTGTGTCGGATCGCCGATCATGTGCTTCGAACTGCCTGACACTCTCCTACCTTGT